AATCAAATTATATTCTTTGCATGAAAATTTGGCTTTACAGTGTTGACTTAAATATGTAAATAATATATTACATGTATATTAAACTTATTTCTAAGTAAACAATTAACAATAAACAAATGTACTCTCCTAGGCTGTACAAATACCAAGATTCTTACGTACTGTATAAACCTACAGTACACATCTTTGGTACTTTAAACTGACACACACTCTTTTGGTACAGACACACACACATGACGTTTCCGCCCCCTGGTTTAAACTCTTCACCCATTTCTCTGGGTCATGGCAGTAGGAAAGCTGGAGATCAAATAGCGAAACCCAGATCCTTCTTGTATACAGACATAGAGTTTAATCTCCCGTTTAAATATGAAGGCTTGGGGACTTGCACTAAAGACAGCTAACAGACAGTTAACAGACAACCAATAGACAGTTTGTTAACATGCCTACCAGAGAACCAAAAAGGACACTGGCCTTATTCCCTGTCCTTCAACACAAATACACATCCTCCAAATCCTCAGCATCACTGAGTATATCACAGGACGCTCTTTACTCTCCAGCTGGTTTAGGAGAGACAAACACACAGGCTCACCATACTCGGTTGTAGACCCCATCAAGAGATTAATCTCCTGTAGCTTCTAAAACTGGAACAATTGCTCTCATACCAGCCCATCTGAACTACCCACTTGAATTCTGAATACAGAGAAGAACTAAGATACCCAAGATATCTGATGCTGCCTCATCCTTTTATTAGAGATGCTGCTTTTTACAGACAGCTCTCCACAGACCTATTGTAGAAGCAACTGAGATAATTTTGGGACAGGAGACGCTGCTCTATACAGACAGCTCTTCACAAACCTGTTGTAGATGCAAAGGAGGAACAAGATAATCTTGAGACAAGAGATGCTGCTCCGGTAATAAATAGCTGTAGTATGTGTATTAAAGTTAAGCTCTCTCACACGTGTATACATCAAACTAGAGTAAAATGCTTTCTCTTCACAATTTCCCTTGAATATGATATGAAAATAAATGGCACTTTTTTAAGCTTTCAAATATCAATCTTATTTTAAATTTAAAACAGAATTTAATTAAAGATTTCTGTCAGAAGAATAAATGTTTCATTTCCAACACATACTATGTTTGCAAAAGAATCAAAGAAAGCAAAGACCACTTTAAAAAACAAAAAAAACTAAAAAATTAAAAAGAGTAAAAGATATAATCAAACATAAAGGATGGCAAAAATCAGCGTGAATTAAAAAGATACTGATAACTGTCTGTTTTGTCTTTTCACAACCCATAAAGCCTATCAAAATTTTATTTTTAACATCTCAATCAAATCTATCATTTTTATTTCTTGATATGTCCTTTACAGAGGGAGATGATTGATCTTGTAAATTCCTAAGATTTATGTCTAATTGTAATCGATAGAATAGCGTTAATCCTTAAACAAGGTCTTAGAAAGCCTCAGCAATGTAATATTCCCTCCTGTATTTATTGATCCCAATCAGGGATGTAAACGTTTTCATTATTTTGAAAAACTATTGTTTCGTTATGAAAACGATGAGGAAAAATCAAAAAAAGAATCTTTGTAGAAACAATCATTATTTTAAAAAGTTTGTTTTTTAAAATGGTCGTTTTTAAAATGATTGTTTTACAAAACAATTGTTTTTATAAAACTTGTCTTTTTGTTATCAATTGTTAACAATGATCCTTCCTTATCAATTGTTAATGACGAACCTTTGTTACCCTGTGCTAAGGATCATTAATGAAGAGAGGAAATCAACCTGAAGGGCATCTGTACTAATCATTGAGAAGATTTTAAGAAGTTTTAGCTCACCCACAACTTTTTGACTTTATATAAGATGCCATTCAATAAAGTTGCATCTAATCATTAACGATCGTTAACAATGACCCTTTGTTAACAATTGTTAACATAATTGTCAATCATATTTTTTTCAAAAACGATCGTTTCTTAAAAATAAAAATCAGTCGCAAATCATTTTTATAAAATCGATCATTTTTATAAAAACAATCATTTTCAAAAACAATCATTATTCATTTTCTAAAGGTTCAAAATGAGCGGGTCGTTTTAAAAACGATAGTTTTTTTTCTAAAAAAACAGACTGTTTTTGAAAACAATTGAAAAACGAAAATAAACTATTGTTTAACAATCGTTTTCATAAACGATTAACAACCTTCATCCCAAATGCCTCCCTTTAATAAAGAGATAAATAGATATCTTCTAATTCAGTTTATTTGTTGTAAAACTGTAATAAAATCTATCAAGTACTACCCTCTTGTTAAAGACTCTCTAAGAATAAGTTTATTTATATTGCAGTTTGAAACCTGTCGTTTTGAAGAATCAAAAATATTCAAGTAAAAAAAAACTATTGCTATCTTAGTTGTCTTTAAATAGATAAAAAATTATCTCATACCTTAATCAATAGATCAGAAAATCTTACAAAAAAATTTGTAATCAAATTTTTTATCAAAAAATTGTTTTTAAAAATTATTTTTTTTTCAGTAAAATTAACATATTGTTGTTACATTTTTTGTTGTTAAAAATTTCTAAACAAACAGTTTGTTAGTTTAAAATATCAAAAATAAAAAAATATTGTCTTGCGCTTTTATAATGACTAACAAACCTACCTGCATATGGCAAAGTACTCCTACTTTCTGTATCAACATCATGAGTTATAGTTGTTGTGCGAAGATCTGAAAGTTTGAGTTTAACAAAGGTCATCATTAATTTTAAGGTTTCATTGTACCATTAAAATGCAATGATATTTGTCACCAATGTTTTCAATTGATATTATTAATATATTATATATATATTATTTATGAGATACGTTGCACCGAATTCCTATTGAAGGAAGGACAAGTGCAGTTCTAAGGCAGCAGGATCATCATTTAACGTAGTTCGCCTGCACGATATTAGCCGCTACAGGGGGAAATCCGCCGATTACAAACTATCTTTTTAAATCCAGTTTTTTTAGAGAAAAATTGCTTGTAGAAAAACCCTAACGAACAGAGTATTAGAGTTATAAAAATGTGTGGGATATTCCCCCACTCACATTTTGTTCATTATTTCGAACAAAGGTGTAACATTACAGGAAGTGTTTGCGAAAAATGAAGGGGGTATAGGCTTACGTCGAAAAATTATCGATGGGGATCGCTACTAATCTTACTTCTATCTGCTGCGTCTATAAGCAGAAAATTGTTTAAAACGACTCATACCGAAATAACGTAAAGCGTCCATACAAATTCAGAAAGTTGCAACATTCCACTCAGATCGTAATAAAATCAATTTAATTCCAAACAAATCATTCAGATATTACAACTTATAACCATCGATAATTTTTTGACAGATTCGTATAAAGTTGATTGTTCATAATATTTTTTACTCGTTTCATATATAATATACTTTAAAGGGTGTTAATTTGGCCGCTAGGTGTCTCTGCTCTCGATGATTCTGGAGTTCCACGTGGAATAGACTCCAACGACACCTAGCGACAAAAATATCGTCATTTAAAGTACATTGTATATGCAATACGTTAAACATATTATGAAATAAAAATTTTATATAAATGCGTCGAAAATTGTCGATGATTATAGGTTGTAACAACTGAGTGATTTGTTTTGAATTAAATTGATTATTTTCCGATCCGAGTCTAATGTTGCAACTTTCTGAATTTTTGAGTGGACGAACGTTCTTCGGTATGTCGAGTCGTTTTTAACAATTCTCTCCAGACGCAACAGATAGAAGTAAAACTAGTAGCGATCACCATCGATATTTTGTCTCTGTTGGCCGATACACCCTTTCATTTTTCGTGAACACTCCCTATTAGTATTTTGTTAGATTCATGAAACCAAACAAGATTTATTAGAAAACTTTAATTTCAAATTTCATTTTCGAAATACTCTTAATTGCTGAAGGGAACTAACAAAGGATGAGAATCGAAATCCAATTATAAAATACACAAGTAAAGCTGATTTTATGCTGAGAAAATTGAGAAACTATTTTTGGATAAAAAAGGGGATTTTATTTGGTATAAAAGTACAAATCAGGATTTTATATTCTGTGCCAAAAAAAGGATTACTTGTACTTCCACTTAAATAAACTTTTTCCAAATCAAAATGTTGCCAGCCAGACATATACTTCCTTTGAACGAAGGAATTAGGCTGCATTACAGCTGAAAATACAAAGTTAAGACAATTTATAATTAAATTATGCTTCTTTGTTAGTTGTTTGTATTAAATAAATATCAAAACGGCCGAACCGATCGGATCTAAATTTAAAATGGTATATCTCTTATGACCCAGCAAAGGGTTTATGGCCGGTTCAAATTTTAACTAAAATTTCATAGAAAATTATCGAGTTTCTAAAATTGTTCAAATACTCTCCTTATCTCAGGAAACTTTACTTCAGTATACGAGATAGGATTTTATTTTGAGGAACTACCAAATATTTAAAATGATAATTATGCATTGCAAAGTTGAAAAATATGTATTTGCTGTTCATCTTTTTATTTATCTTTATTAAAAATATCCTTAGGTTAATTAAAACTACAATACCTAGTCTAAGCTAAAGAATTTGTACTATTATGTGGCCAATTTCCTACATATGGAAACAGGGTCGGAGAAAAAATATAGTTAGTACTTAATAGATTTATAGAGATGTCTCTCTTTTCAACATTTTAGAGAGAAACAAATGAATATTGACTGCTACAAGCTATTGAAGCTGAAGGGTTCTACCTGCCTTAATATCTATGTGTATTTAATCTACGGCTGCGGCTCATAAGTCACATATTTAGATTTATGTAACAGCCCGGTTATCAACGTATACAGTGTATTTTTAAGGCCCCCCCCCCTCACACTATTTTATTGTTAACACTCTTTAGCTAAGGTCTTACTACTTACCCATTTCATTAGAGGGTGGGACATCCTTCCTGTAGTTGTTAGGGAGGCAGAACACCTAGAAATTAAATTGAAATATTGCAGTTCAAGTATCTCATTGCTTATTAGAGGGTGGGACATCCTTTCTGTAGTTGTTAGGGAGGCAGAACACCTAGAAATTAAATTGAAATATTGCAGTTCAAGTATCTCATTGCTTATTTTTTTACTCCCTACTTTATGGTGTAAACCTTTGTACTTCGTACTTGGCATCTTTTTCTATTTTCTTCCGTTCTTGATTAAAAAATAACCCCCAACCCAACCAACTCTCAGACTCTGTAAAGCCAATGATCTTTTCTAATTTTCCTTTCTTGTGGGAAAAGGTTTTTCTATAATTAGGACTGGGCGTGGGGTTTTCTGAACAAACTAACAAATCCAACTTTTAAAAAATATAAGTGTGTTGTCATGTGACTTTTAGTTGTGACTTGTCATGTCCATCGTTTTAAACCCAGTTTTTGACCCGGTTTTAGACCCTTTTTTAGATCCGTTTTTAAACCTTTAGACCCGTTATTAGACCGTTTTTTAAACATTTAAAGTTTTTCGACTTTTTAAATGCTTTTCAAGAACCTGAGATGCAAATCCTATTCCAAAATTGTATGCTAGACAAGTTTGTTTTCGTTACAGAAAGCTAAATGTTTACTTTGATCAAGGATATAAACCAAAATAATTTTTCAAAACGGAAAGCGAGTTAACTAGTCGTTTTAAAAATCGTTTTGTGTAACAAAAGAAAAGTTGTCTAGCATGCAATCCTGAAATAGGATTTGCATCTCAGATTTAAAAACAGACCTCAAAACGATAAACATCCCTAGTTATTACTAGTTATGAATTAGTTGGTCTGCTATGAAAACAAAAATGAGTTGCAGAGAGTAAAAAATCTTCTTTCGGATAACGTTTGTTCACATTTTGATTAGGCGGAATTTTTTCTTTAAATAAAAACACATTTTTTTAACATTTGAAAAAATTCACAACGCAAGAAAAATCGAAAAGGCCAAATGTGCCCATCACTATAATACATTTTTTACAAATCATACACATGCTTATCCGTTCACATAAATATTTGTAATATTATAAATAGTAAATACTTTTTCTCACTAGCTGTCTCTAGAAAAAAACAGAGGTTAATGTCAGAGCCTTAATTCGGCACAAATATTCTTGCTTTTATGAAAAACATTTTTGTAATATTTCAATCAATTTATTTATAAAAAAAATTAATACAAATATTTATATTATCCTTGATCCATCATTTTGATACAATAAAAAAGAAAAAAGAAAAAAGAAAAAAGAAAAAAGAAATAATAAAAGTAAAACCTCAATTTATAGAAATAATGTGAAAATACAATCTGTTTCTCAACTTCCTTTTCATCAGAGATATATCCTCCCCTACCCTCCTCCATTTTTACCTGGGATTTACCCTACGCGCCTCCATTTTTACCAAGGATATACCCTCCACTCCTCCATTTTCAACCAGAATAAACCATCCCATCCTCCATTTTTATCTGGGATATACCCTCCCTCTCCTCCATTTTTACCTGGGATATACCCTCCACTCCTCCATTTTTACCTGGGATATATCCTTCACTCCTCCATTTTTACCTGGGATATACCCTCCCCTCCTCCATTTTTACCAGGGATATACCCTCCCCTCCTCCATTTTTACCCGGGATATACCCTCCCCTCCTCCATCTTTACTTGGGATATACCCTCCCCTCCTCTATTTTTATCAGGGAAATACCCTCCCCTCCTCCATTTTTACCAGAGACGTACAATTCCCTCCTCCATTTTTATCCGAGATATACCCTCCCATCCCCCATTTTTACCAATGATAAACCTACACTTCTCCATTATTATCCGGGGATAATACTCCATTTTTACCTTAGATATACCCTTTCCTCCGCCATTTGGACCATTGATATTACACCATAGTTTCAGAAGAAGTAAATATTTCCATTTACTGTTAGCGCCGATTGAATAGATGTTACCGCCATAATATTTCTATTTGTTCAGAATAGACAACAAACAGATTACTGAACCCTGATTGGATCAGGCGCAATGGACTCGGCATACAGGAGTGATTATCTCATCTCCTCTATTTTATATCCTCCTCCTCTTCACCTTTTAAACCTGTTCTCCATATTACCTGAGAAATTACTTCTCCTCCTTCATTTTTGCAAGCCAGATATCCGCTGTTCATGTCGTCCCTTCAGATTATTCATTAATTGATTTCACATAAGAAATTAATTAGCAATATATTTTAGCATGTTTAATGTTTATGAATGTTGAGAAAAGTGGTGCAGTCTTGTTGTTTCGCAATGTAATTTCAATCCTTGTGTCTGATGATATTAATTCTAGTGACCCTCCATTTTATAAAGAGAAATATATCCCATTCACATCAAGTATTCCATTTAAACCTTTGTAAGGATAAAATATCCAGTTGCGATGGTTTGAAGTTTTTAAGACAGAAATAAGGGTTTACAGTGTACCATTGTGAATGGAACATCAATCTATAAATAGAGTGCTAACGATGCGATAAAGCTTGTTTAAAAAATTCTTCTCTTTAACTTTATTGAATGTCTAACTTAAGACTAACATAAGACCGCTGAAACTTCTTCACTTTTAGTATGCCTGACCATTTTCATAATTCAAAAAGATTTTTGCAATTCAGAATACTGCATCCCAGAGAAATTACAAGCTTATTCAGATAAAGTACTTTTATAGTATGAAATATAGAACCAAATTTGATTTAAACTTAAGTTTTCAGAGTTTAGAAGTATACTGTGGGTTTAGAAGTATTATTATAGTTTATAAGTATACTATACTATGAGTTTAGAAGTAGACTATACTATGAGTTTAGAAGTATACTATACTATGAGTTTAGAAGTAGACTATACTATGAGTTTAGAAGTATACTATACTATGAGTTTATAAGTAGACTATACTATGTGTTTAGAAGTAGCAATACTATGAGTTTAGAAATAGACTATACTATGAGTTTCGAAGTAGACTATACTATGTGTTTAGAAGTATACTATACTATGAGTTTAGAAGTAGACTATACTATGAGTTTAAAAATTGACTATACTATGAGTTTAGAAGTAGACTATACTATGAGTTTAGAAGTAGACTATACTATATATGTGTTTAGAAGTAGACTATACTATGTGTTTAGAAGTATACTATACTATGAGTTTAGAAGTATACTATACTATGAGTTTAGAAGTATACTATACTTTGAGTTTAGAAGTAGACTATACTATGAGTTTAGAAGTAGACTATACTATGAGTTTAGAAGTATACTATACTATGTGTTTACAAGTATACTATGAGTTTAGAAGTTGACTATACTATGAGTTTAGAAGTACACTATACCATGAGTCTAGAAGTATACTATACTATGTGTTTAGAAGTATACTATACTATGAGTTTAGAAATAGACTATACCATGAGTTTAGAAGTAGATTATACTGTGGGTTTAGAAGTATACTATGAGTTTAGAAGTAGACTATACTATGAGTTTAGAAGTAGACTATACTATGAGTTTATAAGTATACTATCAGTTTAGAAGAATACTATGGGTTTAGAAGTATACTATGATTTTAGAAGTATAATACTGCACATATTTCAACTTCGTTTTGGGCCGATACATAGCATTACTCTTTTAGAAGAAGTAAAAACTTTACAAATCCAAAAAATTTAAAATTCTTTAAATGTTATATAATTGAATACTTTTAAAATTCATTAATTTGCATCATTAATTCAAAAAGTTGTGAAGAAACTCGTCTCTGACTCAATTTTGCTAATCATTATATATTTGCAACCTGATGTACCAGATTTTATGTGATTTTTTTAAACTGTTGAAATAAGCATAATTTAAAGTTTGGAATTTGACAGGTCTATGGCATCAGGTATAAAATATATAAGGATTAGCGAAAAGATAACTTTAAATTCTTTAGCTTTTAGAGTTTAGTTGTGCAAAAGAGTACAAATTGCAACACTTCATTAGTTCCCGTATTCATTAAACTTTACTTAAAGGGCCTGTAAGGATAATGCAGAGAGGGAAATTTCCGATTCACAATGGTTCCCTTGAAAGCTTTGTCTAATTAAGAATGAATTAGATATCAATTTTTATAATTTGGAAACTAATCAAGGTTAGATGTAGCTTTCAAGGGTTCCGTTGTGAATCTGGCATTGCTATCTTTAAATGGAAGATCACTTGATGCAAGACTTACAATCAAAGAGAATAGAATATATTAGAGTGGAATTTAGACAATCCCTCGGTAAGAATTTTGTCAGTCCCTTTCAGCCTGAAAGGGAGTTCAAAGTGTACAAATCATGTAAATGTTCACAAATTATATGCAGTAGAGTACATTAATACAGTATGTTCCCTAGACTATCCATTTCAATTTCGAATTTTTTAAAACCGTTAAATAAACCTTATAAAATGAATTAGGTGAATAAAAAATATCATTTGATTTATAGTTATAACGGAAAATCATCGTTTGTAAAGTAAAATGCATAGAGTCTATGTGATTTGATCTTTAGTCAATTTTGAAACCAGCATATTTCATAATTTGGTTTTCTTTTAATATTAATTTTAGATTTTCTATAAAATGATGTTCCAGGGCCCAAAAGGTTAAACAGCACAAATATGTGTAGTACACCTGCAGTATGGAAACAGTACAACAAAATGGCCGTTATACACTTTTTTCTAGTAAATTCCCCTCTAATATTTATTCTATTCTCTTTGCTTACAGTTCGTTTAACTATTTGCAAAAAGAACAAAAAACCTGAAACTTGGAAACAAAATTTACTTTATTGTTATTTTACTGGGTACTTTTCGAAACAAAAAGAAGAAATCGATTTTTATTTTATCATTGAAAATAACTATTTTATGTTAATATTAATCAAATACATTTATTATTACTATTCCTGTTTAATGATAAAGAAATTGCGATTTTGCCACAAACTCTAATCTTCCAGTCCCTATATCTTTTAAGTCTGATGTCATAGACCATTGATATTCCAAACTATGAAATCTGTTAAGTTAAATTATATCAAAATATTAGTTTAAAATATCAAAGGTTTATACGTACCATCAGGGTGCAAAAATATAGGGATTACAAAGTTTTGAGTTTGTAGCGAAAACTTGCAGTTTCTTCGCTTAGTATTTTTAAAACAAGATTATCTGGGATTTTGCATATAAAATCTGTATCCTCCTGAAAAACAGAGGTAAAATATTTTAAAATGTTAAATCTGTCAGAAAGATTTGATCTGCACATTTTATAAACCATCTACAAATTATGACTTTTTTAACGTCAAAAACGGTCCTTTAAATTAGAAGCTTTAAAATATCTTCTTTCCCACAAGGGATCGCAAAATCATTACAACTCATCAGTTTCAGTATCCGGTCCAGGTTGCGGATTAACAGAATAAAATCGCATTCAACATTTCTGAATTCAGGTGCTTTACAGTATAAGGATTAAGGAATATAGCTCAATTTAAAATAATTACAAATTTTTAAAAATAGTTCTTATCTAGAAGCCGTAGATTTAAATAAAATGTTGAAGGTACAAAAAGAGTTGTATGGGTAACCACGTGGATCAAACGAATTTTTTGGTTTGACTCTAAACTAAAAATCGAGATACTCATTTGTAACTGGTATTTTTAAAACGAATTTTATTAAAAAAAATAAATGTTCTATGTAAATGTTCTATGCAAATGGTTTATGTAAATGTTCTATGTTAATGTTCTAGGTAAATGTTCTATGTAAATGTTCTTTGTAAATGTTCTATGTAAATGTTTATGTAAATGTTTATGTAAATGCTCTATGTAAATATTCTATGTAAATGTTTATGTATATATTTATGTAAATGTTCTATGTAAATGTTCTATGTATATGTTCTATGATTCATAGAGTTCTTAACTTTTTTCCCTTTTAAATATATTCTCACCCCTTATTACCTGTCTATATCGCTGGTTGTTGACAAGCATCGACCAAAAGTGGAAAATATGATAAAAACAACAAACCATGAGATGTCAAATATTTGCCGCATTTCTTCTGAAATAGATAAGGTTGAACTATTTTATGGTGACAGGTCTGGTATTAGGGTTTGAAATAGAAATTCCACAGGATAAGCATGACTTAAAGGTATTTCTCTACCATTTCTTACAGTTAAAGTGACTGTCCTTGTAATTTCAAATGGTCCTCCAATTGAATGTCCATTCACTTTAATTGATTGTGAGAACTGCCCCTTTTTCAGAGAAAGATAAATACAAAATTATTAGGTTTTCGAGATTAAAATCAAATATCAAATAATTCAACAGTCTTTATTCTTGCGGAGTCGTCTTGATATTGTCTTGCTATTATCTTGATATTGTCTTAATATTGTCTTAATATTGTCTTAATATTGTCTTGATATTGTCTTGATATTGTCTTGATATTGTCTTGATATTGTCTTAATATTGTCTTGACATTGTCTTGATATATATTTATGCATGAAGAACACGTCCGCCGACAAATTGTACAAAAGAAAAAGCGAAAAATGTCACAGGTTGCTGGGACAAGAACTGAACTGCAAGATCACAAAGAATCATAAAAAAATACATAAAAGTTTTTTTAAGCTCTTTTAAAAAACTGGGGTATTTTTATTATTTTCGGCATGATAGTGATACCATAAGTTCCCCCAATCAAGATTATCCATGCAGGATATTACCATAATGGGATATGAAAGAGGAATAAAATTCATCCTGAAGTCTGTAAAAGATAGAATTGATATATTGTTTACAGCAAGGAGAATTGAATAGAAGGAGGGGGCGATTGGGTTTCCGTACATTTTGCTAATGCTGTGACGTTTTTGGACTGCTGAAGATCTAGTTTTTACGTAACAACAAAAATAAAGATTGTAAACAATAACATAAATGATGAACAGACATCTGGCGCATCTATGGCGTTAGATGAAGATTCATGTTTGTTTACAATAGATCGGCTGCCTTTGTTATTGTTGTTACGCAAAAACTAGTTCTTCAGCAGTCCAAAAATATCAAAGCAAAGTGTACGGAAATCCTATCGCCCCATCCTTCTACTCAATTCTCCTTGGTTTACAGCGCTTAAGTTCTGACTACTGTTAACTTAATTTACTACAAAATGTATTTTAAAAAATTAGCCTTTAAAAGAATTAATATTAAACGAAAATAATGCAAGTCATTAATGTTTTTTTCTCATTTTTTCTCATTTTTTCTCATGGACATTTAAAACTGTTTACTTTTTAAGAACACAAATTGAATTAAAAATGTATATTTTTTGCAATATTTTGCACTTTGTTTTTGTTATCTGGGAGCAGGTGCTCTTGACTTTAATAAACCACTGGATAATGGAACTAAAAACTGAAATATTACTTGGATATATCATAAAATAATTTCAACAACCTATATAAGGCACAATTAATGAGGGGGATGGATTCATTTTTACCATCCTTTTATTATTTGTAAAATTTATTGCATTGTAGTTTTGATAAAATTATGAATTTATATAGAATTGTTGAATCACAATAATTCATTCAAATAGTTAGTGTGTAATTAATAATTGGACTAATCTAAATAATTCATTCAAGTAGTTAGCGTGTAATTAATAATTGGACTAATCAAAATAATTCATTCAAGTAGTTAGCGTATAATTAAAAATTGGACTAATCTAAAAAATTCATTCAAGTAGTTAGCGTGTAATTAATAATTGGACTAATCAAAATAATTCATTCAAGTAGTTAGCGTGTAATTAATAATTGGACAAATCAAAATAATTCATTCAAGTAGTTAGCGTGTAATTAATAATTGGACTAATCTAAATAATTCATTCAAGTAGTTAGCGTGTAATTAATAATTGGACTAATCTAAATAATTCATTCAAGTAGTTAGCGTGTAATTAATAATTGGATTAATCTAAATAATTCATTCAAGTAGTTAGCGTGTAATTAATAATTGGACTAATCTAAATAATTCATTCAAATAGTTAGCGTGTAATTAATAATTGGACTAATCTAAATAATTCATTCAAATAGTTAGCGTGTAATTAATAATTGGACTAATCTAAATTTAATTAAAGTCTAGTTATGACAAAATGATTTTAAATAAAACATTTTTTCATTTTTAGTTCGAATTTCTTTTTTCGTAATTCAGTGTTTGGATATGCAGGGTAACACACAAAGAATGAAACTTTAATGACGATCTTAAGTGCCATTAAACTAATTTTTTTGTCTCGCTTTCGATGTTTAACTAGACGAGTTAGCGAAGAAATAAACAAGTGTACAGGTGCAGGTAACTATACATAATCGAAAGAATGCGAAATAATTCTGTACAGTCGTCTCTGCAAAGTCTCATTTTTTGTAGGCACTTCTGTATATGATAACACTGATCTTGATATGATGTTGATCAATTGAAGAGTTATTTGATTGATTAATTACTCGATAATAATTCAAGTTTGACCAATGATTTTATGATAAAGTTTCTTTATGATATTACTGTGGA